CTAGGGCACCGGCGCAGGCACGCCAGCCCAAGTGGGGGGACCGCGCCCATGTGCACTCAACCACATTATACAAAGCAGGTGCACGTGGGTGAAACACGCGGCGGCGGGGTGAAGGTTGCAGGCAACGCGCGCATACCAGCTCAGAGGGACCGCGCGCCACGAAGCAAGCGCGTCCAACTGCCCACGCAAGCGTGTGCGCGCGCATAAACGGCGCCAGCGAGCGTGTTCATGTTTGGTGCTTGGCCTGGGGCAAGTTCGAGCCGGGGATGGATTCGAGCCGAGGGGCGGATTCAAGCCGATGGGTTCGAGCCTGTGATGGGAGGGGAGGGGTGCGTGTGACACAAAGTAGCGGCTGCATGTGATGTAATCACACCGTGGTGCATCCATCCGGAACACTTGCAAAACAAGCAGGAGCTTAAGCTGGCTAACGCTAGCTTTCGTGATTTAGGTGGGGATTCATCTCCACCAGCCACTTTTGAGGTGGTTCCCTATTCAAAGGTCACAGCCATACTGTGGATGGACGAAATCCTGCACCATGGAATGTTGACTCCCCAACGTAAATGCCAACAAACAATGGTCTCTCAGGGTTTTTCAATCTGGTGCGTGCCCGGATCTCGCAACCATCCACATGGCATTCTCCACGCCATGCGGCTTCTCCGGGCAGTCGGCCCGTGCCTCATAGTACTTCACTCCCAGAGACTCGTCTTGCCGATTCGGAGCACCGCCGCCCCTGATCAAATTGAAGGACCTCGGATCGGCGGATCGACCTGCTGTTACTGAATGGGAGGCATGGGGCCAAACACCTGCTCAAACACATCCCTGTGATCAATCCCTAGTGGTTTAAGTCCCACTTGCCCTCAGCACTTCCAACTTTGCAATGTCGTCATGTCGCCACAAGAGAACTGGCTCATGCTTCCACTATGTCTCAATCCCTAGTGGTTAAGTCCCACTTGCCATCAGCATGGTGTCATCTTACCCCAAATATAAAGCATCTTGTATGTCATGTTGTCAAGTTGTCATGTTGCTGATGCCATGTTCGACACAACGTACTGGCTTCCACTATGTCCCTGGCGAGCCGGTGGCGTTCACAAACTTGCCTCGGATCAGACTCTGCCACCAAGCCTTCGATTTGTCAATGGCCCGCAGTCTCATGTGGCCTAAAGGTAGGAAGCCATGCCCAAGTCTGCATGTGTCAAGCGTTTGGTGTACTGACTCTGCAGCTTTGTTGCTCCTATAATCATCAATGAAGTCCTCCACCTTGAACTCCGTTGATGCGTTCGGACGCGCTTCCGAACGAGTGGCGAAAGTGAAGTAGGTGTCCTGCAACATCCACTGGCCAAGTTCATCTCACGCGCAGCTGACCAAACCATGCGCCGGTCGTGGCCGGCGTCCTGCGTGCTGCGGAACACGAAGCCACTGGGATCCACTGGGCTGCTGAAGCGCTTGAAACCCGCCGGCTTCGTGAACCTCAGAAAGGCGCGCCAAAGGCAAAAGGCCGTTTTTTGGCGACGCATGAGCGGAGCTCCCGAAGCGGCGGACGAATTCTGGCCAGTTGTCCTCCCCGCCATTTCGCGTCCAATAAGCATAATTGGTTGCCGCACTTGTGCTGACATCATGTCGTTCTGAAATCAAGCAATGGCAAGGCCAAGGAGCAGGTAGCCCGGAATGCCCGACTTTCCCTGTGCAGCCGCCTGCCACACACAGGATCTCGCGCGAGAAGACGCCCAAAAGCAGCCCATTGTCTACATGTGTGCTGCTGATGTTTGTTGAGTCATGCTGCTATCTTTGCTGAGCAGTTCTCAAACCCGAATCTGATCTCAAGCATCAATCGGCAGGAATAACCCGAGATGAAAGCGAGCACTGACCCAAACACCAGCGCGCCTGCACAGTCTCCTCCTTTCCTGTCTCATACCTTGCATCATTGTTTGGAGCACTGACAGCATATGAGATCATATCCCACATCAGACACCAGGCCACACTGCCGTGTCCTCAAGCATTGCCTTCTGCAACTGCCCTTCAACCAGATCTGGTGTTGCTTCAAGGGAGATGCTTGCGCTTCCGGGTTTGAGCGTCGGCGCCCGTGAAAACGTCGACGTGATATGTCTCGCCTTTTTTGAGGGATGGACTGGGCGCCACGGCTCAAGTACTCATAAGTTTAACCTTGGCAAATGGAATAACGACTAAAACCTGCGGTTTGCCTCACCTATTTAATCATGCGCCACATCACTTGTGCTTTCGGCATCCACCCACCTCCCACTTGCTTGAAACATCTCATCAAACCAGCTCTCCAACCAATGGGCCTTCCCATCAACCCCCAGGGACGCCCTATGATGCCATGTGGCCATGGGTCAAAATCCCGTACCCCCAGTGAACATCCCAATCCCCACTAAAATAGACTAAAATGTGTGGTGCACCTACCCCAAAATGGTACCATTGGCTTTGACCAGCCATGTGCCTTCGGCAAAAACAAACCGGACGCCACCCCTTTCGCTCGCCCGAACAAGGCGCTTCTGCAGGGCGTCCGCCGAATCTGCGCTCGCTACGACCAGGAAGCCCCAGGAGATCAGCGTCTGAAAAAGCCGACACGACGACGACTTGCGCCGTTAACGCCATGGAAACCAGGCAACCCGGCCATGGGTCCAAATCCAAATCGTACCCCAGTGAACATCCCAATCCAACCACTAAAATAGGTTCTAAAACGGGTGGTGCACCTATCCCAAAATGGTACCATTGATTTTGACCCACAGCCACCCAACAGGACAGAAAGGATGACACAGTAGCAAGCAAAGTAAAGTCAGTAAGTGAGCCACTGACAACGAATCAACGATCCCCAATACAGCCCGACAAAGAAGGGAAGATGGAGGAGGAGAGGAAGAGAGGAAGAAAGAAGAAGCCTCGAACCAGCCCTGCCTGTCGTCTGCTTGTGTCTCTTGCTGCCTCAGTCATCGCTGGTCACAGAAATTGCACAAGCTTCTGTGCAAGTCCTACTCGCTTGCAAATGGCTCAAGTCTCACAGTATGCTTGTTGAAATTGTTTATGACCAACCCATCTTCAATTTGCCTGTAAAAACACCCTGCTTGCTTCCGACACGTAGGCACAAAGGTACGACAGGTCGCGCCTGAGGAGACGCAAAGAGCAGAGAACAGGACCTGGCGGGATGGACAGCGCCTGGGGCCAAAAGCTCCACCCTATTGAAATTCAAAAACCTCCAAACAAAGGAAGCGCAAAAGCACATGGAGCGCAAGGATCTCGTAACCACAGTTGCCCTCAACCGCAGATGAAGAGAGGTCAAGCATTTGCTGGATTGATTTCATGGCAGAAGTTGGCCGACGAGATCTAGCTGCTTCCAAGAGCCCAGGTCTTGAAGTGGAGCAAACACGCAAACCAGAAAATAGATCTCCATGGGTCAAAATCCAAATCGTACCCCCAGTGAATATCCCAATCCAACCGCTAAAATAGGTTCTAAAATGGGTGGTGCACCTAGCCCAAAACGGTACCATTGGTTTTGAACCATGCCAAATCGCTGCTGGGTACAACCTGACCAAAAGGGCAGCATCCGCCATGGAGGTCCAAATCCTGCCTAAGAGCGATCAGCGCAATGCAAAGGCCGACCAGCGGCCTAAGCGACAAAAGCGACAAAGACAAAGAAGAAACATGTCACAACTTCAAACCCTGGGTCCTTGTCATTATAATCTTGCATCACACATGCTGCAAAAAATTACCCTCAAGGTCGTTTACCTCTTTGGTTTTGGCAAACTATGCTGATAGAGCACAAGAACCAAGGCATACCAAAACGCAAATATGGTAAGCTTGTGTGTGTGTGTGTGTCTGCGCCCGCATCTCTGTTAAGCAAAGCTTCCACCGGCTTGCTCATCCCTGCAAATGACATTCTGAAGGAATGCAAGCAGGGCTCCCTATATTTCCCCTTAAAACATCCCCCCCCACCAAGGGCTACTCACCTTTCATGGACCAAAAAGGTGATGTTTAAAACCACCAAAAAGGAAAATATAGGAATCGACCCCTGTGCAAGCTGGGGAAGCTGGTGGGAATGCTCGGAACGAGCCAAAGTTGGGATTCTGCGGTCTTCGGTCAGAAAATATCCTTGGGATCCTTGGAACTGGCAGACCCGAATCTGCCCAAAGGTAACACTCTCTGCTCTTCCCTTGAAACAAAACATGGAAGAAGAAAACAAAAAACGCGAGAGCCCTTTCCCTCACAACATGTGGGGGCCCCAAATCACCATGGGCAACTTTTCCCATTTAAATTTAGTGGGAACTGTCATCATTCTAGTGCTGTTCCCTCATGGTCATATGGTCATCCCGTGCATCGCGGACCTTTTCCTCACACCCCCACTAACTAGGACCTGGCCTGGCCGCACGCCGAGAGCGTGAGGCCTGGATGAAACGAGTCAGGGGCGGGTCTGTTTTACAACGGACACCTGAAATGCGGGGATTTGCTCTTGGTTTCACAAAAAAAAAGGGGGCGGTCTTGAGCAATGTGGCGGAACAACCCCCAAAAAAGGTGCCCTTCAAGAATGACAGAGGGGTTCACAAATCAAAACAAAAAAAAGTACCCTCAACAAATGACACACCTAGGAGGTTGCAGGGATGGCGACTGAACCCACTGCCTCTGGCTGACCACGAAGGATAGGAATTAAGAACTTGGTGTCTGCTCCTTTCAGCCCGAGCAAGTCAAATGTAGACAAAAAACAAATATATATATATATATATGTATATATATATATATATCAAGAAGACTTTCTTCATTCTATGCTGCCACTCCCGCTCAAAACCTGAAAGCTGCGGAGGCCCGTCTCAAAAGTTCAAACAAAACCCTAATTTGGATACAACAGAATTCCACAATGACTCCGCCAGCCTGCATGGCTGCGGCTGCGGGTTGCACACGCTTTGGATCTGGATTGAGCCAAATGTGCGGTTGGCGCTTGCAATGTCACTAAGCTGAAGTCCTTGATCTCAAGTCTGCACAGGCCTTTTCTTCTTAGTGTGCTGGGCTCGAGAGTCAAGCACTCTCGGCCCGGTGAAACAATTCAAGCGATACGTCGGAAATCTGCTTTGTCCAACTCTACACCACGACTTGATCCTGGCGGGCAAGCTGCAGCTTGCACTTCTTGGTATCGCAGTCGGAGATGAGGCCGAAGTGCTCCTCGACCCCGAAGTTCCCGGAATCGCGGGCCGTGAAGTAGAAGACATGGTCCGGGCCCTTCTCCACATCTAGGTCCAGCCTGTCGGAAAACCAGCCGTTGCTATCAGAGCCATAGATGTTTAGCATGGCTCCCCTCTGAACACGTCATTCCCGAGAATTCATCAACCTCCACCTGCTCTGCATTGATCGTAGCACGTATCTAAGTATTCTGTATATATATATATATACATAAATACACGTGTATCCATATATATATATAGATATATATATATATATGTGTGTACAATACAATCCATATTATTAATATATATATACATGTTATACATTTTGTGAAGCCCCCCTGTCAGTCCCATGAGGCTCTGTTGGCGTGTTCACGGCAAGAACCTCCAAGGTCTCAGCGCTTCTGGAGGCAACGCGCTTCCAACTCGGAGAAGCGTTTTCTTTCTAAGGTGTCGACCAAGGTGGTCTGCGGACCAGCGCGACGTCCATTTTTAGTCCACGACGTCGCGATTTCTGGACCAAAACTGCGCACATGCTGGAGGCATCGGCCAATTTAGTCGAAGGATGTCAAAAAGACCTGGAGGTACCTCTGCGCAACGCAAGGCACGCCATTGCACCTGGTCTTTGCCAACTCCAGCCCACAGCAGGGGCCGCACACGTGCGCTGGCCCGGGGACGGGCCCATAAGTTCCAGGGAATCGGGCGCAACTTTACTGAAACAGTGGTGCTGGAGCCGACAACCAACTTCTTAAAACATCTGACAAAAGCACTGGCCATTGAGTCAAGATGGAAGAACTGCACCTCCGCGATTCACTTTGGGCGTCGAACGATGCAGAAGGACTTTTAAGCAGAAACCCGGCTTGACTTGGCCGGAGGTGCCACCTGTGTCTGCAAACCAGCAAGACATCCACGTTTCGTCTATTGACTCAAACAGTGGCGACGCTGGGCGGCGTCCACAAGCTTCGTCTACAAAGAAATTTGATACAATCACTTCTTCACTTCAATGGTGGTGCTGGACGTGTCGACTATTTTACTCCTTCTTTCACCACCGGCGATGCTGGTGGTGAGGGCCAGCTACAGGTCACGCTTAGGGGGCGGCACGGTGGCGGAAGTTAGCAAAGTTTCGTGCAACTGTGTGCAATTCTGCCTCCCGCAGCTTGCCGCGCACGCGCGGACCATGCAATGTCCCGGCTGCTTTTGTTTTGCACACTTCCTACGGCAGAAAACTTCTGACGGCTTAGAGACACCCTGACTTTCCGCCTCAAGCAGTTGCATAAACCTTGGAGCATGGCACGGGAAAGTGTCAACAACATTGAATTTGTAGTAACATGTTCCTAATTTCTTGCGTAGGCATTTAAGATAGGCCTGCCGCTTTATACGTACCAAGCATAATACCTGCATGCATCCGGCTGCTGCCGGGAAGAAAGCACCGGGCTGCGCTCACCCTAGTATGTATACCACGCTTACATACATACATACATACATACATACATACATACATACATACATACATACATTACATACATACATACATAAATACATACATACATACATGCATACATACATACATACATACATACATTGCATACATACATACATACATACATACATACATACATACAGACAAACATACATACATACATACATACATACATTACATTACATTACATACATACATACATACATACATACATACATACATACATACATACATACATACATACATACATACATACATACATACATACATACATACATACATACATACATACATACATACATACATACATACATACATACATACATACATACATACATACATACATTACATACATACATTACATACATACATACATACATACATACATACATACATACATACATACATACATACATACATACATACATACATACATACATACATACATACATACATACATACATACATACATACATACATACATACAGACATTACATTACATTACATTACATTACATTACATTACATACATACATACATACATACATACATACATACATACATACATACATACATACATACATACATACATACATACATACATACATACATACATACATACATACATACATACATACATACATACATACATACATACATACATACATACATACATACATACATACATACATACATACATACATACATACATACATACATACATACATACATACATACATACATACATACATACATACATACATACATACATACATACATACATACATACATACATACATACATACATACATACATACATACATACATACATACATACATACATACATACATTACATACATACATAACATACATACATACATACATACATACATACATACATACATACATACATACATACATACATACATACATACATACATACATACATACATACATACATACATACATACATACATTACATACATTACATACATACATACATACATACATACATACATACATACATACATACATACATACATACATACATACATACATACATTACATACATACATACATACATACATACATACATACATACATACATACATACATACATACATACATACATACATACATACATACATACATACATACATACATACATACATTACATACATTACATACATACATACATACATACATACATACATACATACATACATACATACATACATACATACATACATACATACATACATACATACATACATACATACATACATACATACATACATACATACATACATACATACATACATACATACATACATACATACATACATACATACATACATACATACATACATACATACATACATACATACATACATACATACATACATACATACATACATACATACATACATACATACATACATACATACATACATACATACATACATACATACATACATACATACATACATACATACATACATACATACATACATTACATACATTACATTACATTACATTACATTACATTACATTACATTACATTACATTACATTACATTACATTACATTACATTACATTACATTACATTACATTACATTACATTACATTACATACATTACATTACATTACATACATTACATTACATTACATTACATTACATTACATTACATTACATTACATACATACATACATTACATACATACATACATACATACATACATTACATACATTACATACATTACATACATTACATACATTACATACATACATTACACACATACATTACATACATACATACATACATACATACATACATACATACATACATACATACATACATACATACACATTACATACATACATACATACATACATACATACATACATACATACATACATACATACATACATACATACATACATTACATACATACATACATACATACATACATACATACATACATACATACATACATACATACATACATACATACATACATACATACATTACATACATATACATACATACATACATACATACATACATACATACATACATACATACATACATACATACATACATACATACATACATACATACATACATTACATACATACATACATTACATACATACATACATACATACATACATACATACATACATACATACATACATACATACATACATACATGCATACATACATACATACATACATTACATACATACATACATACATACATACATACATACATACATACATACATACATACAGACACACACACATACATACATACATACATACATACATTACATTACATACATTACATACATTACACACATACATACATACATTACATTACCCTGACCCTCGCTCGCCTTCATATAAGAGAGTCGATCAGATTCCATTTTCATCGACGTCATTTTGTTGGGTCGCCGGCATTCCGTTCCAGAAAAAAGGGCCATGGTGTTGACAGAAAACAATAATGCTGAATTCAGGCGATGGCACTCCGAGCGAAAAAGTGCAGAAAAAGACAGCGCACAGGCTCAGCAGGAAGGTGCACCAGGGTGGACTCGAACCACCATCTTTGCCGCCAGTCACGATGGACAGTCCCCAGCGCATCCACAGTGCGATGCTCTTCGCACTGTGGATGCGCTGAGGGCTGTCGATCGGCCGAGGCAACGCCTTGCCCATGAGGCAACTGGTGCAGTCGCAACTTTCCGAGCCCGGGGGGACTGCCCCAGCGGGCTCTTTTTGGTGGTTGCGGCTGCAACAACGAAACAAAGTACTAGTGCCCGGCATGTGTTGAACTGACACTCATCATGAACGCGCCCTTCTAGGCATCGTTTCAAGAGAAGGCATCCAAAAGTTGATTGACAGACCAATTGAATGTGTCACATGGGATAAAAGAACGCCTGTGGCAAATAATATACACGGAAAAGGGTAGTATTATCTGTCTGTGGTTGACAGCATCAATGATGCTGCGCGATTGGATTGCAATTGGCCAGCGATTGGGGGGTTCGCACAAATTTCGACACTCGCACTGTTGTCAGCATTTCAGACATCTGTTCCAGAACGCTCTGTTCCAAACAAGGCAACTATTTTTCATAAGCATGTCCAGTGGTTTGTGCTGTTGGGCAAAATTTCTCATGATCTTGCGCACATGGAGTGTTATAGTATCAAGGTCAAACGTTTGGTGGGAACTTTAACTCGATAGTTTTTGGGTTGGGAGGGACTTCGCAGGTAAGTGTTTGCCCCAACACAAAAACTGCCTTGTTGTAGTTGGTCTTGGCTGGGCCATGTTGGGCCGAATGCATCCTGACCGAGGTGCACACAACATGATCAAGCTAAGGTTAAAAGCACAATGTGTTTCGAGCTGCTTCGACCAGGGACATGGCAAGGTGCGTTGCACAGGAGCGCGTGCGCAGATACTCGACAAGCATATATATATAAAATATATTTTCCATAAATAAATAAATATATATATATATATATTTTTTCCGGCAATCATCTCATGATCAGTCTCCTCCATCAACATCATACTGCAGAAACCGGCCACGGCTTTACAGGGAAACCAAA